ATAATAATAATTGCAATAATAAAGTCATAATAATTGCAATAATAAAAGTCATAATAATTGCAATAATAAAATCATAATAATAATAAATAATAAACAATTAACAGTCATAACACATGATAATTGTATCAATAAACAGTCATAATAATTGCAATAATAATCATAATAATTATATCAATACAGTCATAACAATTATATCAGTCATAATAATTGTATTAATAACAGTCATAATAATTGTATTAACAACAGTCACAATAATTATAATAACAGTCGTAACAATATAAATAATAACAGTCGTAACAATTATAATAATAACAGTAATGATAATTGTATCAATAACAGTCATAATAATTGTATCAATAAAGTCAAATAAGTATTAATACAGTCATAATTCTATCAATAACAGTCATAATTATATATTAATAACAGTCATAATGTAATAATAGCCTCAGTAACTGCCTCTACTTGACTGATCCTCACGAAATGGGAATGCGTGCCGGGTGTCCGCATTGCTCGGGGAATTCCCGTCTACCTGGAATGAATAACAAGTCACTTCTCCAGAAATGTAATCTAAGAAAAGATAGATTTCAATTCTTTAATTCAAAGAGTAAAGAATTGAAATCTATCTTTTCTTAGATTAAAGATGGATTTCAATTCTTTAATTCAAAAAGTAAAGAATTGAAATCTATCTTTTCTTAGATTAAAGATAGATTTGATTTTTTACTTTTTGTGAGAATTTTGAAAGATGCGTCAGCTGTAATTATCTCAGTTATATTGCAAATTGTATTTTCTGTATTTTATCTTGTATTATTCTGTATTGGGGAGACTTTGTGTGATGTATTTTTATGAAGAAAAGTATTCAGTAAATGTTATTGTCTTATAACAAACTAAGTATATTTGCATATAAATGAAGCTATTGAAAATATATTCTTTCTGACTATGCAAAATTTGAGGTAATGTAAATCATATAAAATTTACAGAAGTAGAATCTGTTCTTGAATTAGATTAGTCACACACATACACATATATATTTAAATGTATACAGTTTCAGATAAAAGATGAGATTTGTTTGAATTTCATTTAATAGTAGAGTGAAATATGCCATGTTCATATGCATTATTGAGAAACACAAGTCGGGAGTATATACAAAGTGTTAAAACATACCACAATTTACCGTAATATTTCTTCTTCTATATGTTTCGTATTGTAACCTTTCACTGAAACTGATACCTTTCTGAAGCTCTAATGCATTTGATGAAGATAACTGTGATGATGTATATTTCTTATTCATCTTTCTTCATTCATTTCTTAACGCCACTTTCTATACAAAGAACAATTGACCTTTTCTTTGTGAGTTGATGATAATAATGATACAAGTGATAATAATAATGATGACAATGATGATGCATGATGATACAAGTAATGATAATAATGATGATAACAATAACAGTAACAACTGACCTTTTCTTTGCGAGTAGAAAGGTACGTTCATGCAATTCGCCAAACACTCACGCAGACGAGAACCACCAACAATTATTAATAACTCTTGTGTATTGTAGTTTCATACAACAATTCTTTCCCAACCAATCACCTCTTTACCTTTTACCTTCAAGAAATCTACAACGACCACCCATTTCTCCAAAGTTCTCAACCATATATTTCTGCAGTTTGCCCAACACCTTGCGCGGTTCCTGAGGGTAGCCCGACCTCCTTGTCAGCCCCCTTTGCCCATCGTGGCCGAAAGGGAATAATGGATAACTTAATCACTTACATGAGAACCCCGGGATTCATTGCGTGCTCCAGTTGAATCCTATTCCTGCCTCCGGTTTGTACGCTTTGGGTCTTGGTGCTGCGGATTCGCTGGACTGAATCCCTCTTTGACCCGCTTGCAAGAGAGTTCGTTCGAGGTAAAGAACAAACGCGTTTACGTAACATGTTGATGAGCGAGAGAGAGAGAGAGAGAGAGGGAGAGAGAGAGAGAGAGGAGAGAGAGAGAGAGAGAGAGAGAGAGAGAGAGAGAGAGAGAGAGAGAGAGAGAGAGAGAGAGAGAGAGAGAGAGAGAGAGAGAGAGAGAGAGAGAGAGAGAGAGAGAGAGAGAGAGAGAGAGAGAGAGAGAGAGAGAGAGAGAGAGAGAGAGAGAGAGAGAGAGAGAGAGAGAGGGAGGAGGATGAGAGGGAGAGAGAGAGAGAGAGAGAGAGAGAGAGAGAGAGAGAGAGAGAGAGAGAGAGAGAGAGAGAGAGAGAGAGAGAGAGAGCGAGAGAGAGAGAGAAACTATGAATCATGAATTAGAAGTGGAAGATACGATGAAAATAGAAATCGCCTCGATCGCATAAATCATTAATTCGGGAAATGCAAAACACAGTTTTGAATGAAGATGATGCTTCTGTTGGCAATAATGATGATAGTAACAGACACAAATGATAACATATATAATAACGATAAAAGCGAAAATAATATGTTCAGCAGCTAGGGAAGAGTTAATTATGCATCTCACCCTCAACGCTTGAAGGGTAACATTCTCGTTATACGTTTTTTTAAGATGAAAAAAGGAAAGGAGATATTTAAATCAGGAACATTTGCCAAAACGAGACTAGTTGGCGAGTAATCCATAATGAAATAAAAGTGAAAATCCCTAATATGTGACGGACTTTAAGTGA